GCAGCTAACCTAACTAACTCAAGTTCTGCATAGTATACAATACGGTAGCGCATTTATTTATAAATTGCCAATTTGTCATTTTACAGCTAACCTAACTAAGTCAAATGCTGCATAGTATACAATACGGTAACGCATTTATTTATAAATTGACAATTTGTCATTTTACAGCTAACCCAACTACGTCAAGTTCTGCATAGTATACAATACGGTAACACATCTATTTATAAACTGACGATTTGTCATTTTACCATTGTAACCTAACTTACCCAAATGCTGCATAGTATGTAGGACGGTAGGTAACGCATTTATTCATAAGTTGACGATTTGTCAGTTTACAGCTAACCCAACTAACTCAAATGCTGCATAGTAAATGGGACGGTAGGTTACGCATTTATTTATTTATTGACTTTGAATGATTTGTCAGTTAGCGAATTGACGATTAGCTAAAGCGATATCTAGAATTTCGTTAGTTCAGAAGAAATTGTCACAAAGATCTTGTTACAGTTGAGAAAAGGCCGAAACTGGCAAATGCGATTCTGTTCGAAATAAAAACGAATGACAGTGGCAATGTTTTTGACACCAGTGCGAACATCACCGTCAACGAGGGACCATTAATGGTCAAGATTTCTGGGGACTACGATCAAGTGGATCATTTTTGGTAAGTTTTCTCGTCCCTCGTTTTAGCCAAAGCCAATGTCAACATAATCCATATCGTCACAAGTTTACTCTCATGTGTGAAGTGTGCTTTAGTCCATGCACATTGTGCTATCGTGTCACGTCGTCAAAATCTGCGGATAATGTGGAGTATATACGGGTGAAAGCCAGTGCTACCCTGAGGGTCGAGTGGTCAGGGTCCCGCCAGAATGTGAGTTTTAATTTATTTGTGGCGAGTGTACTAACTCAACATCTGCCAACCTTCATAAGGGAGGAGTTTTGGCCGAAGTATGTCAAGCATCGACGTTTGCACGGTCGGTACCCAAACACCCAAGTTTTATTTCATTTTTTTATAAGTTTCATCACGCATCGCAATCCATCGCAAACTAGTCAAAAATGTAATACTTGCTGTAAAATGTATTATTTGCTATCTATACAAAGATCCGCGTAAAATTAAAATCAGTTAGTTTCCAATACGAAATGTCTTTACTAAAGTGGACAATCCCGCAGCACTGAGCAACACAAACAAGTATCTCCGTACGAGCCGACAGGCGCGCCTGCGCCACCGATACCACCTGTTCGCGCTCTCTGTGCGGCACACTTGTCGTGCTGGCAACGTGCCCACGAAACGTGGTCTCAGTCACTAAATTGTCTGGTCGCTGACGCCCAGAACGCTGACATCTTTGGCCTTATTTAGAGTGGCGGCTGCGCGGGTGCGTGTAAATCAAATGTACGCAAGGCTCTGATGTGACGTAGACGGTCGTTTCATTCACAGTGGCCGCGCGGTTGGATCTATTGGTTCAGTCTGCTCGTACCATTCACAGTGCTTGGTCTAGCGTCTGTTTGCAACTTCGACGTGTCTGACGGATCTAACGATTTTAGTCGCTGCGGCACTGTGAAAGGGAAAACGGCATTAGCAAACTAATTTGTAAAAAGCAAACCTAGCGTATCACATATGTAATTTAAGTAACCAATTGTCATGTGAGCGTTTTGGTTAGTACTGTAAGTTTACATTGTGTTTTTATAAATAAATAAATTGTAGGGTCACCAAATTACGAATTTTTAAATTTTTTTATTATTATGTTATCCTGTAAGAAATAGTTATTTGTTATGCAAGGCTGCAAAGTTGTTGTTTGACACGAGTGCTTGTATTGAAACCTGAGCAAGCGAAGGAGGCTAAGATTAAACCACGAGTGAAGCGAGTATTCAAAAATAGAAGCCTGAGCGTAGCGAGGGTTTCAAGGCACAAGACGCTAAACAACTTTGCTGCCGAGCGAAACACGCAACTTTTCACCTCACTATAGAGAGGATAATGATAGATGAAAGAAAAACATTCAAACAATAAAACATCAGTATTATTAATGAATAGAAAAAGTTTATCTTCGGATGCGTTCTGAATTTCCACCTCATCAATTTTTATTCTTGCTTGTACTTTTGTTTTGTGTGTTTAAGTGATTATTGAAATTATTTTAGTTCTTCGACGAACTAAAATAATTTATAAACACAATTAGTCATTCAATCAGCCTATTGCAGTCCACTGAAGTGTACGCCATAGTGCCCGATCACCCGTTTTCCGCATCCAACCACTACCCGCGACCTTCTTCAGATCGTCGGTCCATCTTGCAGGGGCACGTCTTATGTTACGTTTGCCGAGACGTGGTCTACACTCGAGAACCCGTCTCCTCCATCGCTCATCGGTTCTGCGACAGATGCGGCCAGCCCACTGCCACTTCAGTTTGCTACATTTCTGGACGATGTTCATAACTTCAGTCTTACATAATTTCGTTCTGGACTTTGTCCCTTAACGAGACACCCAGCATAGACTTTTCCATAGCTCGCTGAGCGACGTGTAGTCTGTGAGTCAGTTTGACCGTTATATTCCACGTCTCGGCTCCGTCAGTCACGACCGGTAGGACGCATGCCCAATCCGGTCCAATCAAGTGTATTAAAAACGTTATTATTGTCAGATTAATGTAAAAAATAGTAAGAATAAATAATATACGAACGGATTTATATTGTATACATAAGTAATGTAAGACAAATCGCGTACTCGAACGTGTCATTATCTTTTTTTATCGAAAGAAAAAGCTAGGTGCACCACAATCCATCGCGTCGTCAAGTTCGAATTTCAAAAACCTTTTCCACGCTAGCGTGGTAAAAGCGCTTTTGCGCGCAGATTTACAACGAAAAAGAAAGCCTTTACACCAAAAAGTTACATTTACCTATCTATTTGTTACGTTTCAGGTGCCAAAATGTCGTGGACAAAGAAGGTGAAATTTCTAAGGTATTTTTAACAAGAGACGATTTTTCTGAATACGAAAATCCAAAGGAAGCCATAGCTATTATAGTAAGTATGGGTACATAACATAAATACTGCAATAGGTACAAGTTAAATTAGCATCCTTGCTGTGGAATGTTAAAGAACTAATTTCTATAAGTTCTTTTTCTATTACCAAGTTATGAGACGAACAAGTCGTGCGCTGAGTTGGTGTTTTGGAGGTAGGCATTGTAGTGGAGATGTATGTGGATAGTGCTCCGTGTGTAATAGTAATATCTGTGTAAATATTCACGATTTTGTGCTAAGTATTTAATAATCTGCTGGAAATTTTATAACTGGAATGATATATGTGTTAGTTCGTCTCTTTTTGATCATGGCAGGCTCTAGCTGAATATCAGCGGTGCTCAGCTACAAATCTTTTTATCTTCCGCCACTATTGTCTGTTACTAAACTCTGTGTAAAGTAGTTATATGATGACGGTACCCTAAAATCTAAGATGTCGCAATAATTAACATGAATCGTAAAAACTTTGGAATGTGGCAAAATCACGTCCGTGTTATATTATACAGTCCATATTGTTAGTAAAAATTGCACAAATCAGAATCTAGATTACAAAGTAACCACCGCCAATATCCCATTGTTTGATTCCTTAATATATAAGGACTCGACGCTAAGCTAAAGCTATCCCCCTGTTGGACATTTGTCATATAACTTCTTTATAATATTCTAAATACATTTTTGTCTTAATTGAAAAAGTATTTTGAATTCAGTGAAGTCCTTCTCCGAAAATAACTACAGTCGTTAAAAATCAAACCTTCATTTGTTGGAACCCTTTCACTCAACATCTCCCACAAGAAGAGAAAAATATAACTAAGTAGCTTATTTATTTATGGATGTGTGAATAGATGATATTATTTATTATTATAATGGTGGTGGTGTTCATAGCAGTTGCAGTACCGCTCGGAAAGATCTGATAGCCCAATGGCATGCGCCCCTCACCCTAAGGCATAGGTTGGCAAGTCCCATAATGCCTGTAATTTTGCCAGCACCCTTACCCTTTAAAAGCGGAACGCAGTAATGCTATATTATATTACACTTGGCGGCTCCAATAGGTTAATATTGTATTAAACCTCATAGTCTTCATATATACCTAATATTGGTCTTCTAGTTCTAGTTAGTAAGTAAATGTCGAAAAGAATCCTTGCAGACCGTCAAACCGCGGTGAGCATTTTGTGACGTGATATTCACGGAATTAATGTGATACGTCTGTTATTATCAGAAATTACTTAATGGTTCTTCCTAAGCTATAGTAGCAGTACCTACTAAAGTTGGGCCTTTTGATAGAGAGCTTTGTGAAAGAGTTCGTCCAGGGAAGTACTGCCGCCTTACCTATTCCTGCCGCCAATAAAATAAAAAATAAAAAACAAGAATTAATTATTGCAGACAATATACAGTCCATATTGTTAGTACACTTACAAGCTATCTATTCTACTGTTAGTACAAAAGTTACAGAACAAAAATAAAATGAATGAATGAAATGATTATATGATACCTGCTAAGTTCACCGAGCTCCCGAGACGTGAAGTTCGATGAACCTAGCAAGCAGATCGGAGTCCCATCTATCCCCTTTCATTTTAAGAACTCTGTTTGAGCTCTCTCGCACTCTGCGCAGACAGGATACCACTTTTTTGCACATTAGTGCGTAAAAATCCTCTACAATGGCGTCGGCAACCTGCCCGACGCATTGCAGTAGCGAGGAACCGAAACAGAGCTCTGATTACACTATTATACATAATGCGTAGAGGGTTGATAGGCTGATTGTGTGGAATGTCTGGTTCAGATGTACAACGAGGAAACCTATGAAAGCATATTATCCCGAACTGTCAAAGCCCTGCATTCCCTTTCAATATAACGTAATGTAAGCATTACTGCATTTCGATTTTGAAAGGTAAGGGTGCTGGTGAAATTACAGGCACATGGTACTTATCAAGTTATGTCTCTGGGTGACGGAAATAGTGCCAGTGTCACTTGGAACTTTTCGATTTAAAGCTCTGAGTGGCACTGCAGCTGTTATAGACAGACGTGTCGCTACTTGCCACCAAGCGCACGACTTGTTCGTCCCGTCCCGTAACTTGATATTATAAAAAAAAACTTTACGTCGCGTCCTTTTAGTAGAAACTTTAACAATTCTTTATCGCACAAATAAACGACATTGAAAAATTACAAGTTACAAGGATATATACAAAGATGAGCTTATCTCTGGATCTCTTCCAGCCAACCCTAGCCGTTGTGAATAAACAAGCGGAACATTATTGTACAATACATTATCCATGACGACAATATAAACACACAAATACATTTTTATTAATTCATAATTCTTTTGTTTCGTTAGTTGATTAAATCAATTACCTTATCGCAGGATACCAAAAACTTGAACAAAAATCACACGCAATGGAATTGTACCCTGCTTACGCGGAAAGGCACTCAGATATATCAAAATAATTTGTATGAATATAAAAACGCAAATTATTCAAAAATAACTTGGACAGGATCAGTTCATATTGCTAGTAAGTAATTTTTTATATTCTTAACAATGATTACATTTACAAAATGGGGTTGTTACAAAGGGGTGTCATTATACTTCAGTTATTGATCACAGTCACGATGTCAATGTACTTCAGAATATTTTACAAAACCAGAAGAAGTAAACATGTAAACAATTTTGTGCCTGTTTGTACCTACTGTGTATCCTTAAATAATAAATAAAAAAAACATAAGGCTAAAAAGTTGTCAAAAAAAACCAGATCCGACAACAAGCACATAGAGAAATTCGTGCGGTCCGCTGGTTCGTTCCGTGGCTTAGTTGGCATGGCGTCTGCCACGGTTTGCTAGAGGACGTCGGTTCGAAACCGGCCGGATCAAAGGAATTATTTCTGAGTGTTCGATATTTGTATTAATAATAATTTCACAAAAAAATAATTAAATATCATAGTGAAACATGCTGGCATTCAATAAAACACTAAATAAAAAGATATTTACTTATCCACAAAACAAATAAACCATAATATAATAAGAACGAAGACTCAGCATTGCTGATTTTGATTTTCAGTCTCCACAATTATAACTATTCGCTTACTGCATCAGATACCTTCAACCCTTTAAAGCACTGACGCAAGTTCCTCATTTGAATTTTGAAGAATTTTGAAAGTATTTATAATTTTATGGCCAACCATACCAGAGTATACATAGAAATCAGTTGTGGTGGCCCGTGACGGATTGTCATTTTTTACTGCATGAGCAAATAAATAACAATTTAATGCAACACATAAAGAAATAAAGTTTCTAACAATTTAATGTACCTAACGACAACCTCCGCGGTCGAGTGGCTTGCACACCGATTTCATGGTGTCGCTACCCCTGAGGTCCCGGATTCGATTCCCGGCCGGGTCAAAAATCTGACTTCTCTATATCGTCTCTGGTGCTTGTGGTACAAGTTCTTTAGATACTTACTTTGGGATCAGAGCAACGTATGTGTTGTTGTCTAATAATTAATATGTTTAATATATTTATAATCTTCAGGAGAAGAAGCAGAAGAAAACGCACTGCTCTTTAAATTAAACCACGACGAAAGCGTATGTGAAAGTGTGGATCCAATTCGGAACTTCACAATTACTGAAGGAAGCACCTTAACCGTCATTATTCCAAATTTCTCTGCATATTTTTATAAATTTTGGTAAGTTTGATTTTTAAGACGCTATTTCCGGCAGTAAGGGAAACATATTCGACTAGGGCCTAAACCTTCGATTAAAGAACATAAGTGTCCATCAATGGGACTTAAACTTGAGTTGATGTGGATTAGGTTTTCCAAGGGCCGTTGCAAATCGCAGGTCGCATCGAGTCGCAGAGAGTATCGTGTTGTCTCGAATCAATTTCATACAATTGTTGCAGCGCTGGACGTGAAATAATAAATAATAAATAACGCACACACTCAACATAGCCCCGCACTAGGGAAACCCTGGGTCGCGGGTGCCATGGACACACACATAGACAACCACAAATTACACCCAAACTCACGAGAGAAATAATTGAAGGCCATACAACTATTTCTCCCGGCCCGGGAATTGAACCTGGGACCTCTGCGTGGCAGTCCGGCATGGTAACCGTTCGGCTACGGAGGCAGTTAAATTATAAATATATACTTTTCTTTTTTATAACATCAAGTAGCGGGACGAACAAGTCGTGCGCCTGATGGTGAGCTACACGCCCTTCCATAACAGTTGCAGTGACACTCAGAGTTTTAAATCGCAAAGATCTGAGGAGCAGTATCACTGCGCCCATCACCCTGAAACAGAGTTGACAAGTCCCATGTGCCTGTAGTTTTACCAGCGCCCTTTCCCTTCAAAACCGGAACACAGTAACGCTAACGTTATTGTTTGGCGGCAGAAATAGGTAAGGTGGCAGTACTTCTCTGGACGAACTCTATCACAAGGAGCGCTACTGCTACTAAACACTACCTTGTGACGGTGTGACTTCCTTACATCGTCGTCCCACCTTTTTATCGCCTTTCTCCGGTCCCTGGCCACTCGTATTTTAATTTTAATTTTGAATTGTCCATAGTTCTTTTGCCTCGCATTCTGATTTTGTTTCGTTCCACCGTGACTCCCTGCTCGATCGCCACAGCGAACACGTCTTCTCTCCTTATTTATTTGAGACGTTTACGAGTTACTAAAAATCTCTTGTGCGATAAACTTTTTAAAGATCATAAATATTGTTAAAACCGGAATAAATACTAATAAAATTGGATTTATTACCACTAGTTCTTCGCCCTTTTGAATTTTGAACTATAAACGTTCTAAGCAAGATGTATGGAGGCTGCGGAGGCTGCGGAGGCTAGTACACTCTCCTGGCTACATTACTATCCTACAGAACTTTCATTCTTTCAACCTTTACTAAAAATACTGCCTTTATTAGGTGCATTCAAGCACCTCCTTTTTAGGAGGAGGTTATTAATTCGACTGTACTTTTTTTTGTGTTACGCGATTGCCCCGACATTTGTGAACCGATTTCAACGATTTTTTTTATTAGAAAGGGTGTACCTTAGTAGTGGTCCCATTCAAATTTGAAGAAAATGTCCCACCTCTAGGGGCGGCAAATTAGGCTGCTAAGAGATTCACTGCGTATTTGCTGTTAAGGCGTGAAGTCGTAATCAACTTCATGCCGCCGAGACCACGACTGAATGAAGTTGATAACGACATTACGCATTAACTGCATACAATTAATTTCGGATGCATGAAGTCGGTTTCGATTACACGCAGTCAATGTGTGAGGTCGTTATCAACTTCAAACATGCAGCAATCTGTTAGCAGACTTAGGTGATAAATCCGGCTTATAACATTTGACCCACTTTCTGTTAACCGATTTCAATAAAACTTGGCAAATAGAAGTAGGATTCCATTAACTTTTGAGATTGGTTTATTTTTTATAAAAAAGTTACAATTATGTTCTAAATATTCATTTAATTTAAATATAATATGTCAATACCCGTATTTAATTTGTTCTAATTAATAAACAAACTGTATATTACGATACTTGTATTCTATTTCAGGTGTGAAAGAGTTGATACAAATCTCCAGAGTAACAGCAAAGTCTTGGAAACAAATTTGACTCGATATGCCGCACCTAATTCATATTACTCTCGTGCCGTTGTTGTAAGTATTAATTTCAAATTATTGCATAATATAAATATGTAACAAACCTATTTTATACCATACACTTAATTTGCTCGAGGGATCACTTTGTAATAGGGCATTACAAAGGCAAACCACCACTACTTGTAAACACTGTTCATTGATACTCCAGTCAAAACTCAAATAGAACAAAATTCGTCCTATATACATCTCATGTGAACACTTTTATAACGTGTTTCAGGATACTAGTAATGCCATCCAGTGTCGATGCGCGGTACTAAACTTCGCAAGTTTACCGCTAGATGGCATTGGCATAGAAAACGCGATTACTGAATCGCGATGTTAAGATTTTCCCTCGAACAGCGACTACTTTAACATAATTTTGTATACGCTGAGGGGATTGTCGTTACGCGCACAGCGCACGGGTCGGACAAGCCACGGAGCCGACCACAGTGCAGCCCGCTCCGCCCACGGAAACTTTGCCACTACCCAACCTCCGGCTATCTTTCTCTCCGGTCTCCCTCCGGCCTCCCACAAGCGGGTCTCACCGGAGGGGGGATAGTTGCCCGGAGCGCGGGTTACGACCGCGCCGCGCGTGACCCCCCCCGGATACCACCATGCCGCCGCCGCCAGTACCCCCGACGAGGCAGCCGACGCGTCCAAAGCGCCTGGGGAGGGTGAGAACCCGAATATTCTCCCGCACCGGCCGCGACATCCTGGACGTGGTGCTGGCCGCAGCATCCGCGTCCACAGCCTTAACCCCCTCCCCCCCCGTGGGGGTAGGCGAAGAATTCTTCCCTGGCGTCATACCGGGACCGTCGACGGCGCCGCAGCAGACACAGCCCAAGCGCCCGGCGTTGAACCCACTGCCCCGAGAGCCGCGGCGCAGATCACCAATCACGCCACCATCGAGCGCCGGGCTGTCGGTATCGGCGTTCGAAAGCGTGCCCTCCGCGCCACCTAAGCCCCCAACCAAGGGAAGCAAAGCCGCGTCCACGAGCGTGCCAGTATCGTCCGCCGCAGCACGCCCGCAACCACCTACTGCGCGCCAGTCACGAGCTGAGCCCGCCGCGACCACCTCCGCCTCCGCCACCAGCAGAGGCGCTGCCATCGTTGCTGCCGCTGAGCGCCCCGCAAAAAGCGGCCCCCCTCCGCGGCCGGCGACCCGCACCACCACCGCGAGCGCCCGCATCAACCCCGCCCCACCGCGTGCCACTGCGGCGGGGATGCCTGCACGCCCGCGGCCCACAGTCTCCACCCGTGCAGCCACGGCAGCTACGCGCACCACCGCCACTGCCGCCGTCAACAACACGGCAGAACAGCGCCAACCGCGCTCGCAAGCGTCGCCGCCCCTGACGCGAACGAGGGCGACGGAGGCACGCTCACCGCCGCCACTGTTCGCAGCAGTTGCCGCTCGCAGCCCCACACCGCCATCGGCCAGCGCGGCGCCATCGATGCCAGGCCTCGGTTCACCGATGGACACAGCTCCGACACCGAGGACCCCGACGCCAGAGCCCCCGACGCCGGAGACTACACCTCCCAATAGGTCTTCGGCGCCGACAGCCCCGCCGGCCGAGAAGAGGCCCCGCTACCCGCCCCTAATCGTGGAGCACCGGAACCGGAAAGCCGGAACAAGAAAGCCGGCACTATAGCCCGCACCGCCGACGCCGCCCGACTACGGCCATCGGAACAGGTCCCTCCGACGATGACGGTGACAACCGAGCAAGGCATCTTGCCCGTATCGCTGATGGCTGCAGCGAACGCACCACACACCACCAGGAAGCCCCGGAAACGGAAGCCCAGGAAGCCCACCAACCAGCCGCAAGAGACAACCGCCCCTCCCAGGGAGATGAAAGGAAAGCCAGCGACGGTAGCGGAACCCCCTCCCCCAGAAATGGGGGCGCGGGACGCCGCTATCACAAAGGCAATCCTAATCCTCCAGGAGGTACTGCAGGACATCCGGGCCAACCGAGACCCAATCCCAACGATCCTCAGAGGGATGGCAGACCTGTACACCCGCTGACGCCAAGCCTGAGGATCGTGACCTGGAACGCTGATGGACTCTCTACCCAGAAAACCAGGTTACTACAGTACCTCCTCGCCGAGAAGAAGGTTGATGTGGCCCTAATCCAGGAGACCCACCTCAGAACCCAGGACCGGCTCAAGATACCCGGCTACCACGCGTACCGGAAGGACGAAATGTCACCACTAGGAGTGGCGTACAGGGGCCAAGCCATCCTAGTGAAACGGTCGCTCATCCACCAACCGCTGCCAACACCCACGGACCTCCAGACTTCGTACGCCATAGGGATCGAGGTCAACCTGAACAGCCGCCCCACCCGTGTGTACACTTTTTATAGGCCACCTGAGGCAAAGTTGGTGGAGTCTGATATCCGTCATCTGATGGGATCAGACCTGCCAACTCTCGTAGCAGGGGACTTCAACTGTAAGCACACGGCGTGGAACTCAAGCCGAGTCTGCCCGCAAGGTAGACGACTGTTCGACCTCTCCGAACGCAGCGGCTACGAAGTCATAGGACCTGAAGTCCCGACCCACTACCCATATCGGGCGACCCACTCTCCGGACGTCCTAGATATTGTGGTAGTGAAGGATGTACCTACAACACCAGCCGTGGAAGTATTGGATGAGCACCTCATCTCTGACCACCAAGCCGTCCTGATTACCCTGGAAGAGTCGCCAACACGGACAGTGCCTCCTCGACCCAGACATCGACAGAATTGGGAAGCCTTCGCCGACTATATGGCGGAGAAAACACCCTCACGCCCAGTGCACAGCGCCGAAGAAGTTGACCAGCTAGCTGAAGACTTCGCCCACAGCATCCGCGCAGCGTTAGACGCTACTGCCAACACCCCTTCACGCCACAAACGCACCCAACAAACTCCCCACAGAATCCTGTCGATGATAGAGGAGAAAAGGAAACTGCGTCGACAATGGCAAGTAACCAGATGCCCAACCACGAAAACCCGGTTGAACACCATGGCCGCAAGGATTTCGGAAGAGCTGGAATCCCATGCCACCGAATCCTGGCAACACACCATCGAGTCAACCGGCGATGACTGGAACGGCATCCACAAACTATGCCGCCGTCTCAGCGGGAAAGCGCAACCTGTGCGCCCCTTATTAGCCAGTGACGGAACCCCCCGTTACAGAGCCGAAGACCGCGCTGAGATCTTTGCCGACCACCTCGAGACGCAGTTCCGCCCAAACCCGTCCGTGAATCATCAGCATGCAGCTGACATCCAGCAGCACCTCGAAAATTACTTCGCCACACCGATAGCTTCCGACGAGGACCCCATTGTCTTTTCGCCAGGACAAGTCCTGCGTATGACCCGCCGAGCCAAAAGGAAGAAAGCTCCCGGACCAGACCGGATCTCAAACGAAGCCCTCCGTCACCTACCGCCGAAGGCGATCGCCGCGATGACCCGTATATTCAACGGCATCATGCGGACAGGTCACTTCCCACACTCCTGGAAGCTCGGTCGAGTCATCATGCTCCCGAAACCGGGGAAAGACATCCTGAAACCGGAAAGCTATCGGCCCATCGCTCTGCTGCCCACCATCTCTAAGGTTTTCGAGAGGTTGCTGCTGCTGCATCTGACTCCACACATCCAGCCACGCGACGAGCAGTTCGGCTTCCGAGCCGAACACTCCACGTCTCTCCAGCTCGCCAGAGTGCTCCACCACATGACGGTGGCTTCTAACAAGAAGGCACACACCGTCGCAGTTCTTCTGGACATGGAGAAAGCGTTCGACCGCGTCTGGCACCCCGGCCTGCTGTACAAGATCTCCACTTCTACTACTCCTCGTCGAGTAGTTAAGACAGTGGAATCTTTCCTGAAAGGTCGCCGCTCCCACGTAGCGGTGGAGCAAGTGACCTCCTCAGAACGCACCATCAGCGCCGGAGTACCTCAAGGAAGCTGTCTGTCACCCGTGTGTTACGCTCGATACACGGATGACATTCCCTTGGCGGAAGGGGCCACCCTGGCCTTGTACGCCGACGACGCCGCGTACCTCACCACCTCCATCACCGCGTCTCACGCGGCGCTCAAGATGCAGCGCCAACTGGACATGCTTCCTTCCTGGCTGGATGACTGGCGACTCTCGGTCAACGTCACCAAAACCCAGGCGATCAGCGTGAGCACCTCGAAGAAGATGCCACCGAAGCTGACACTGATGGGCCAACCTATCGAGTGGTCCCCCACGGTGAAATACCTAGGGGTGACAATCGATAGAAGACTGTCTATGGCCCATCACATCAAGAACGTCGTGCAGAACACCCGCGCAGCCCGCGCACTCCTGCGACCGATTCTCAAGTCCCGACTCCCACTACGAGTGAAACTCGGAGTGTATAAGACGTACATCAGATCCCGCCTAACATATGCAGCCCCAGCATGGTACGCGCTGGTAGGAGAGTGCAACAGGCAGCGACTCAGAGCTCAACAGTCGCTGACCTTGCGGTGCATCACAAACGCCCCACGATACGTGAGAAATGACGTCATCCAACGGGACTTGAGCATGGAGAGCCTCGACAGCTTCGTTGATCGCCTGGCCAAGACCATGTTCCGGCGCGCCGGACAATCCCTGTATAGCCATATACAGGGACTGGCACCACACCGAGCCCAACACCCTGACGAGAAACTGCTTCCAAGGGATCTACTTGGGCCCGAGGAAGCCCCACCGGACTAGACACCAGCTGCTGAAGATGGTTGAGAAACCTGCCGGCCCACCGGCAGGGACTCCCATCCGAAGCAGCTCACCCTATTGCGACACCCAAGGGTTATACCCAACCTCAGGACCCGCTCGTCTCCACGAGCGGCGATTGACCCCGCCGAAAGAGGCCGACGCCTCGAACGGCCCCCTCAAACCCGCAGACGCGAGTTTTGAGACGACTACGGCAGGTATACGCTGAGAATACTTAGAACTCTGTAAGGCAATCTAGGAGTTGAGTCTCTTCTTGGGAATTGCTGCCCAGACATTCTGATATCCGCTCACGCGATGCGCTCCTCCTACCGCAAATTGGCGGCTATTTGTTTTCGCAAATTAGAAAAGGATT